GCTTTGGGAGGTGTGGGTTTGAATCTCCTTCTACCTCCAGGTTTCCAACTCTCTGGGTGAATGCTCTAACCACCAACTCTGGGATAAAAGGAGACAACTGAGTACCTATGTGGTCATGTTGAATTGCTGTGAGTTCTGGATGGACAGTAGTGATTCCCAGATTTACTAAAGCCAGACAGGTGTCAGATTTAGGACAAGCCTTTCCTCACTTGTGGTGGGCTGTTGTTTTGGGTGGATGCCTTTCTGGGGTGCCTGCATTATACAGGGAGCTTAGGGTTCAACCACAGAGCTGTGAATTTCATTGCATGAACAAGATGCTTAAAAGTGAGAAAACACAGTGATAGAGTGCCAGCAATGAATCTCTCCATATACTTAAGCCTCTGTAACACAATGAAATAAAAGAAAGAATGATCTGAGATATGACATTTAAGCACATTAGTATATATCATCCTGGGTCAGACCCTTGGATGGTAGAACCTGATGTAACTCCTTTGATTTCAGCAAGGTGGAAAACAATTTAGGGCAGTGTGGGATAGGGTTCTGTCCCACAAAGCTTGTCAGAGTAATGAAATCCCAAATGTCAGGTATCCCCGTTGCTTGTGCGGTCTTGGCTGAGATAGAAATGATGCCTCATTTCTGGGGGAAACAGTGAGTGTGGAGGTGAGTGAGCTATGAGATAGCACAAAGAGAGTAAATGCCGGTCAATCAGAAAACATGGCCAAATGGGAGCGTAAATGGGCGCTCTGTACTTGTTTGATCATAAGACTTTTAACCATTTCAAAACTGTAAATGCAAGTTTCCCATGTTTCACGTGAAAAAGAAGTAACTATAAACAGAAGAGCAGTGCAAAATCTGTAATTATGCCCCTGTAGGACTTTACAGGGATAGAAAAACATCCCCTAACACAGGATCGGGGCCATAATGTGCAAAACTTGCTTTCCAGGAAGCCACTTGCCCCCTCCCTCCCTCCCTCAGGATGGGATTCATTCAGTAACGTCTGTTTGATGTTTACTGTCTTAGATCCCACACTTCTGCCTCTGTGACAGAAAACACATAATGTGGTAGCAGACTCACATTAACGCAGCTCTCAAGTCCAAACAGATTCTGATGTCTTCTTTTGTAAAAGCAGATTATAATTTTTGTTACCTACCCCTTAATTTTCAACCTATGAACGTTCTTCCTCTAGTTCTATTGTATCAGCTATTGTACAGATTAGCTGATTTGCATGCTCTGCCAAGCTTAACTGAAAAGATCCAAGTCTGCAGGTCACATTTATTAGCAGAAGCAATACTCCCGAGATATGCATTTGCTTAATTTTTCATCTTTAAATAGACAGGACTGCCAAAAAATTAAACATACTTGTCTAAGAGGGAGAGAGGAGTCAGTAAAGGCATTGATGAATTAGCAGTGATTTCAAAATAGCTTCTCATATATTGATTTTTAACTGTTGGAGAGAAATACTGTGACATTTTTGATGAAGTTTTGTGAAGAAATGTATGTTATTTGCCAAACAAATGCCTACTTAGCTTTCAGTGGTAATCTAGTCCCTAGGTTTCCAGTGTCTGAGAATTAATCACTTTCAATAGTTTTCCCTAAACAGCACCATTGGTAGAAAGAAAAGAGCAGTTTCTAGTTATGGGAAGCAGGACTGAGTCAGGTCTGGCCCTGCAGAGATTCCAGCTTTGCTTTTTCTGCCCCAAGTTTCCAATCAGCTCTGTGTCAGAAACCAGCAGGAGGGTAAAGTGCAGCTGAGGCAGGGATCACAGATGAGCATGACTGAGCTGCAGAAAAGCAGTGAGAGCAGGTGAGATGTGAGGAGAAGCATTTCTTCCCTGTGAGATCAGAGCAGTCATCTAGGATATCCTTCAGGCAAGAATACCGTATTAGCTGTATTGTCCATTTTTACCAGCAGTAGGTCCTACTATATTTAACAACAGAATTTTTCAGAAGTCTCTTATATGCTGATAAAACGGCTCTGTATTACTGAGGAAACTGTATGCTTTCATAACAAATGAAGTTTGAAAAACAATGAAGTAAAATTCCTCGCTATGGTTTTCTAAAAATGGAGGAATTTACATAATGTGGAAATTTAACTGGCTGCAATCTCACTATAACGATGTTATTCCTCAGCAATAACAGGATGACCGCAGATGAAGAGCAGCTACCCCTTTAGGTGAATTATGCCATGGGGTTGGAACAGGTGGCCTTGCCCTGGAGTTAGAGACGTAGCAAAATTGGTACAAAATCAGCCAAAAAAGTACAACTGGAGAATGTGATGCTACGGGGGGGCAGTGTGCAGGTTTAACTATTTAAACTGCTTTTGGGAAGTCTTGTTTGCACTCCCTCTGAACCCACGCGCAGAGTATTAGAAGGCGAAGCCTTAGTGCTGGCACCAGGAGACAACGCTGATCCCCTTCTCGGCTCCTGCACAGCTCAGAAAGGGCGATCCTTGGCCTGGCCACGCGCCGGGCACGTCTCGGCTCCCCGCTGCTGTCTGCCCCAGGCGCTGCCATGGAGCCCAGGGCAGGCAGCACCAGCCTGGGGGGGCCACGGGCTGCAGCACTGCCTTGCAGGCAGGAATGTTTGCTCTGCTCACGCCTGAAGACGTGCTCTGCGCACACCTGAGGCCGTGCTGGCAAGCACGCGGTGTGCAGAAGTGGGGAGCAGCTCAAAGCCCCCATCAGAGACAGCATAGACAGTAAACACTGTAAAGGCATGCTGAGCCTTTGTAAATAATAGGTGGCTCACAGCTGGGGTGATAAATGAGGCAATTCCCATCCTGGGCCATCCTGGGGGCCATCCTCTCAGTTTCCCATAGTCTAAATTTGTAGAAAGCAGTTTGACAGAGACTCAGTGGAAAGGGAACATGAGTGTAGAGAGTCAGGCTGAAATTTTGGAATACTATACAGTTCACTTCTGTCTTGGTTTTGACTGGGACAGAGTTAGGTTTCTTTTTAGCAGCCAGAAGAGCTCTGTGTTTTGGCTCTAGCCTGGGATTCGCTATGAGAAGAATGTTGATAGCCACTGATGTTTATAGTTGGCACGGAGACATCAAGGACTTTTCAGCTTCCCGTGTTCTTGCTGGTGTGCAGGAGCACAACAGGCTGGGGGGGGCATGGCTGGGACGGAGGGTCCACAACTCCCCTTATGATTTGAACTTAGATTTAGGATTGAGGACTAAATTGACCGATGAAGTATTCCATATCATGCAGTGTTGTGTTCAGTCTATAGATGAGAGTTGACCAGAAAGAAGGGCCTTTGTTCTTCCAGGGGCTCTCACTCTCAGACTCTCAGAGTGCTCACTTTGCCTCGCTCTCTTTTCGGGCCTCTCGCTCATCCGGGATTGCGGTGTCAGGACTTATCTATCTCAGGATTGTTCAACAGGAAGGGACACGGCTTGGTCACTGAGTGATGAGCAGTTACACTGTGCATCACTTGTTTGTACGTATTATTATCATTATACATATATATATTCATATATTCATAATAAATTGTTCTTATCTTGACCCATGAGTCTCCTTCCCTTTTCCTGTTTAATTCTCTTCCCCATTCCCTGGGGGTGGGGAGGGTGAGTGAGTAGCTGGGTGCTTTAATTACTAGTGGGGTTAAACCACAACTTCCTAGTACCTCCTTTTTCTTGAAGAGAATTACCACCAAGCAAAGCGTTAAGGCATCAAATCTTGTAACATGCTAGAGACACAACATGTGTAATGCTTGAGAATTGGGGGATTGGACTAGATGATCCTTTGAGGTTCCTTCCAATCCCTAACATTCTGTGATTCTGTGATTCGGAAATATGTGAGAGCATTGGAAACTCAGATACCATTAGTTTATTTTAGTATGGAATAAAAATTTGTCAGAGAAACCTTGCTCTGATATGCTGAGAAGCTTTATTGAAGTCTTCATGCCATGATGGATTTCCTGAAAACGGAATGTTTGTCCTACCTAAATACTCTTGAAATCCTAGCAAAATGCTAGTGGGAGGAAAGGCAGTTTACCACAACTTTTCCTAAGCAAAATAAGACATTTTTTAATGCAAATCGCAGATGTTCCTGCGAGGAGATCCCTATTAGTTCAGTTCACTTTCTAACTAAGTGAAGGGCATCATCACCCCTAAGATGTGCAAGTCTGAAACTAAAAACCAATCAAATCTCAACTACTATAAAATATAAAAGTTTAGTGAAAGAAAACAACACGAATCCTGCAGCAGATGTGTGGAGAGCGGGCAGATAGTTTCTGATATGCTGAAGGAAAATTACTCTGATTTTTTTCATCAAAATATTATGAACCCATCACTGAGTGGAAAATTTTTTATTACCCGTGGCTTGTGATACACGAATTTAAAATGTTTGCCTTTGGAAAAAGAAGTGCTGTTCATTGTCTTGCAATTTGCAAATGGATCTTTATAAATCAACATTAAGATCCTGTGAGTGTATTCTATGCCACTGAATTACAGATCTGTCTTCTGATAAATGCAGAGTGCTGTAGGAAAAGAAAAAAGTTTTGGTTAGCTCATGCTGAGCCTTGTACAATGGTTTCCTTGTTATTTGATAGAAGCTAAAATAAAGCAATGAATTCTGAAATGTGTTTGTTGACATAAAATGCCACTAGTGTACTGCTGACTGGGGTTGCTCCTTTGGTTTTGATGAAATCCAGAGGCAATAATACGTGTGTGTATACCAGCCTTGCTGTAGATTAAATGGTATGTCAGATTCAGTGTGGAAAGGAATCTTGGTTTGTAACGACCACGGTGGACGTGCTTCCTATGACTTTACTATGGGCAGGTTTTTACTCCTGGACTCTTTGTGTAACAAACAATCATAGAGAATCCCCCAGGAAACTTGAGTTCCTTGCACTGTCAGACAAATAAGGTGCCTCATTATACCACTTTAATCAGAGGTAGCCACAACATTTAGAAAAAATCAGTACTAGTTATTGCTTGGATTAATATATAATGTGAATTAACTTTTACTTGAGCTTTATGTAATATTTATCCTCAGATCTGCCATTGGGAAGCTGGGAGTGGAGGTATTTGAGGCCGTGTACGGCTATCTCAAGCAAGCGAGACAGCAGAATGCCAGTGAGGAGGAGATCAAGAGACATCTGGAGAAACTCGTTTCTAGAGCAAGTGATTGCTTTGAAGTGGATCAGCTTCTCTACTTTGAGGAGCAGCTACAGGCTTCAGAATCACATCTTCAGCCGTAAAACGTGTGTCAGTAACAGTGCTGGAAATGGGAAGGAGGAGTGAGGGTGCTGAGCTGCCTTCTTCAAGCCAGCAAACAAGTACGGGAGGTGTTTGGAGGAAACTTCTGAAGGTAACGTAGTACCTAAGCATGTGGGTAAACTCCATTTGAGAATCCAGACTGCAGAGAGAAGTGGGTAAATGTGGTACAGGTTACAGGGGCAGGAAGAAGAACAAACGTTTGTGACAGTGGAGGGGACAATTCGTCATTACCAGAGTCCCCTTTTTTCACCACTTAAGGTATAAAGACTTGGCCAGGTGTCAGTCCTACACTCACAGCATCGCTGGCAAAGCTGCCTCTGATGGAAATGGTGCAGGATGAGACTCCAACTGCTGTTGATTCCTGCGCTAACTGGTCCCATTTAAGCCCATATTTTTTGTATTTCAGCAGATTTACCCTTGAACATACATACATATGTACAGTTACTCAGTCACTAATTGTCTTATTATTATTCATTCTTCAGAAGGACTGCATTTAATCTGTGTGACTTTCAAAGGAACTGTAAAAATACATGCATATGTGTATATTTATATACATATATACATTCTCACATACACAGAGATAGGTATGTATATCCATAGAGGCAGAATGGTGATTGGCCATACACCATATGTGTGTGCATGTATAGAGACAAAGACATGAGGCCTGAGCTATAGCTGACTATGTTAGATAGGAATCATTATTGTGACTTCTGAAAGTTTTGGATCAAAGTCATTGTTCAAAGATGGAACAATAAACAGATTTTTTTTGTGGCTTGCACATGGTTATGCTTAATGTTTTTTCTTAGTGTCTATGCTCCCTTCTTCATATGCATCACACTTTTGCTGATTTCAACTGTATATCATGCTCTGATTATATACCTGATGTTTTCCTTCTACCACTTCCTTCTTCATTCTACATTCTGAGCTCCTTCATCCATCTGTGTAAAACACTAAAAGATAACAAAGTAGTAAAATCTATAAAGGAATCTCAAATGAATTGTGGACCAAATTAATTTTAGACATCAATCCGTTATCATAATCCTTATGTTTCCTGCTTTTGTGACACAAATCTTAAAGGACTCAGGGACTGAACTGAATAAATTAAAAGAAATTCCTAATATGAATATCAAAAAACATTGCTATTTGACCTGGAACAAGTTATTTACAGCTAAGGATACCGGTATTGATAGTGAATTAAGCAGCGCTACGAATCCGTCTTTGTGACATGTTTTCAGAGACTTGAAGGGAAAGGTAAGTAGCGTCATCTTAATCTATCTCAGCAGCAACACGAACTGAGGAAGCAAAGGACACATCCAGCTACAGATGTGGCATTGTACTTCCAACTGAAAGTAGTAGGAGAATCTGGCATGTCTGATTTCAGCTTTTATTCGGAAGACACAGTGTTACAAACCAGAGGCTAAAGTCCACTCTGATGTTCACTGGCATAGGGAAACCTTTTCTTTTTTTTCTTCTATGTGGTGGTTCAGATCCCATGGATGGAGAGACAGTTTGAAGCATAGGTTCTCAGTCAGGTTTCAGTCTCTTTCCTGTTATTTCTTGTTACACTTACACTTCCCTATACTTCTCAATGTTGTGTTTATGTACTTACTTCCATACGTTTTGCACAGGACTTCATTTAAGACCATTTGAAAACAGAGGTGCCAAAGTCCAAGACATAGGAGGAGCTGCAGGGACTAAAAAGTTGACAAAGCAAACGATAAGTAACTAACATGGTGAAACTCATGTCAGAGGGAGATAATCTTGACTACTGCCGTTACCTCTGGCTGTGATTCAGAGTGATTTCTCACAAAAACTTCAAAAACAGCCTGTGTAAGCAATCAATTCCTTTTTATTATTGAGGAACACCTCATCAGACCTTTTTCCTGCAGCATGTAAGAAAAAAAAGCGGCACAGGAGTGGGTCAAGCTCTCTAAGGCATTCAAGCATGAGGGAGATCATTAAGGGCAACCCTTAAAGCCTGGAAAACATAGTATAGCCATGCAAATTACCCTCAGGAAAATAGTTGCACTCTAATGAACAGTACTTTTGCTTGTTGCACATGAAAAAAAATAACAGCACCTTTTACAGTTAGTTCAGTTGCTTTCTTCTCTCTGCAGAACGTGACCTTCAAGTCATGTGAGGATCTGGAGGTTACTGCTTTATTGGTTATATGCTTTAAACTACGCTTTGGTTTTGTTTTTTCCATCAATCATACCACAATTAGGCAATATGGCATACGTATTAAACTCAGCA